GTTTTGCAGGATCTCCGTGGGCCGACCACTTACAAAATATGTATACTTGCATTGGGCCAAATATTTATACCTGGAGCTCAGCTTTAACCCTTTCACGGTCATAACTGGTCTGTAGTGTGACCCCCCCCCCTTCCCATCTCAAGTGTATGATGAATGAACACTTCTCCACTAATCGATACCTATCGCAGTGAAAGATGATCATACACAAACCAGGGTCCCGTTTTGTTTCCCCCATTGCACTTGGAAAAATAAAGGGCGCTCATCATAACACTCTATATGGGCAAGTCTCTCTACAGACATCAATGATAATGACGCCTGGTCCCCATCTATATCACTGTATGTTACAGCTCCACCCTCCTGGTGCCCCCTGGGGTCTTCTGCACCGGGCCCTGCCATACCCACCTGGAGCCCACATTGTAGATGTTGTATTGCAGGGTTAAATCTTTCCCCTCCACCGCATATCGGTTCAGCAGAGCCTTGGAGCCCAACAGCCGTGCTCCCTCCTCGCAGTGGCCGAGGGCCAGCAGGACTGCGAACGCAACCAGTAAAGTCTTCATCTATGAGAAAAGCAAAGCAAAAAAAAAACATAATGCAGAGAGATTACAGGTACAATACAAATAATATAAGATACAGAACCGGACAGGAAGTGTGCTGTGTGTAGGAAAATCCCTTCCCTCAAATCATGATGATATTTGAACCCCAGCCTCCCCTCCCCCAGGCTAGGATGATGTGTCAGTCCAGGGTATGTTGCTGTTGCCTCGCTACTGGTGCTCAGCCTGGGGGACACTCCTGCACCCCTCACAGGGTGCTTAGACCAGGGGATGCCACTGCAATCCCCCCAACCCCCCTTGGACCAGGGGACAGCGCTGACCCCCATTGCACCACTTGTCTGACCCCCGCCATTACAATACATGACCCATAACCATATGGCAGAACCAAGGTGACTATAGGCTAAGACTGGAGCACACACAGCCCACATTTATATAGAGCATCAGCTAAAGGCAAAACAGTGTCAACCAAATGGA